AAAAAAAAAAAAAAAAAAAAAGAAAAAACCGGTACAGAGATTTCGGGACGCCACGAAATAAGAGAGGGACGACAAATTGAGAATTCGTCACAGGACGTTGTTGAGGTCTTGGGATTGAGATCATTGAGAGGATAGGTGGATTCTGGGGAGGGAATGATGGGAGTGGTGTTTGTTTGATGATTGAAAATTCTTGTCTCGTGTTTGGTTTGAGTTTGACGCCTGGACGAGGTGCGCCCATGAGTGGCGCCCACGTACGAAGGACGTATTTGGTGGACTATATATCGTACGAATATACACGCCATGAGGATCCTTAAAACGTTGCACTGGTAGGTTGATTGCTAATTATTTTCACTGCGCATTCATCCCTCTCAACTGTATATTTGATGCTCATCAAAGTAAATGCACAAACACGTTTCTATTGGAAAAGTCCGCAACTTATCTGCGCCAAATATTCAATGGAAAATGTTTCATAGAAATCAATAGAATTATTGAATTATTTTTTTCAGTGGAAAGACAAGAAAATAGAGTGAAAAAAAACCATGGAAAATTCCTATGGGAAATGTCTCAATAGAAAAAGTTGTTTAGAACGATATTTGGTCTGTTGGTTTTTTCTATAAAAATAATAATGTCTATTGGAGCTTTTTTTTATTTCTCATTATTCTCGGTAATGACCTAGATGTCAATGCGATTGGATAAAAAAATTCTCTGATAAAGGATCAACGAACGTTATACAAAAAATTGAAAGAATATATAAAAAAAACATAAATATCTACAGTGTGAAATAAAATGACTGGCTTTTTCCATTTAAGAAGCCTAAAGAGAATTCAATTGAAATTTATTGATTCGTATCGTATTATTTAATTAATAATTAACTGAAATAATATCTCAAATATCAAGCGATTTGTTCATAGAGAGTCGTCTGTCTTGAAATCTCTGTCAATTCTCGGAATTCTGCGAGCCTAAGTAGGTGTCCCCGCAAGTTCCGGGTCCCCGTGAAGAAAAATAGGAAAATAGACCAAGAAAGTTGAAATTCATTGAAAAAATCTTACGTATCTAACTCCTCCAATTGAGTTGGAGAAAAATTACAAAATAAAAAACCAAGTAATTATGTAGTTTTGTTTTTCGAATCATAATATAACAATATCACAATTATCTGATTTTTTTTGGTAATTTTTCTCCAACTTGTTTGTCCGTGTAGTGAATATGAAAAAAAAAAAAAAAAAAACAATGTTCTCATGCTGTCCATAAAAAAAGCATCTCTCAAGACCGTGTGGGGGCCATAATACCCGTAAAAAAACCGTACAAAGTAAAATGGTCGTGAACTTTTGTTTCTGAATCCCTTTGTCCTCTGGTTCGTATAATTCTCCTCGATGTATTTTTGTCTTGAACGCATATTGTGGTTAACCACAGCCTGTTGAAAACTCGAGCTCCCCTTTTGAAAAATCTTTCTAATCTGGTTAAACAATAAATGTGGCTTATTAATGAAAATGATAAAGAAAGATAGAAAATTTCTTATAAATAAACATTGGATCTCTATTAAAGATTGATGCTATTAAACAATAATAGAATGTCTCAATTTCATGAATAGAAAAATTTGTTCATGAAAAGAAAAAGGTCTTAGCGGGCGACAATTAGCTATAACTAATTGTCGCTTATTCAATTGTTACAGGTCTAGAAGACGCAGCAATAGTGGCGTGACAGACATTCACTTGCAGCAGGCTCAGGTGCATGATAACAATAACGGTGTCGATCAGACCAAAGAGTCACGTGACAATACAGGCGTCCCCGATGAGATGTGGACCCCGGGCCTGACCCCGGGCCACCATCGGGAATTGCCAGTGGATGTCCCCGACACCCTCCTCCAGCAGGCATACGCCAACAAGGTAATAACTGATAATACCTCCAATTTAAGTAGAAACGAGCCACCAACACGTGTCACCAATACCCGTAGCGCTAGCCATCACAATACCGCCCAACAAATAAATCGTGATAAACGCGATCCTGAAAATCATCGTCGGCTAAAAATCGAGGAAAGTGGAAAGTCGATGAGCGATCATCACCTCAGAAGCATTTATCAAAGTGACAATTCCGATAATAACATGATCGTGATCGGTAACGATGGCGTTTCCGGAGTAATAAAGCCCAGAATAATCGAAATAACCCTGAGAAATAACGACAAGAATGAAAGATCAAAAACAATAATGGATATATTGGATAAATCAATTCAGCCAGAGGTAAGAGAATCTAGTGTCGACGGTGACTATGATGACTATCCCTTCGCCAAAGAGGACTATCCAACGATGCTCAAGACATGCAGTGATGCGTCAGCAAGTCCTCGAAGCTCCTCAGGTAGATCAGACAGCACAGCAGCAATGGACGCGAGTTTGATAGTGATTCCTGGTAAGGAGTCACCTCTGTACGATGCACGTAGAATTGACCTGGGATCGCCCTGTCGAGCGGTCTCGATTGGTGGTAACCTATTTCTCAGTAACCGAGGAGAGTCCTTATCAACGTCCTTCGATAATCCTGCTTACGGCTTGGATCTGGATCTTCATCAGGGCCTCCTCATGCGCTCCGAAGAGATGACCGATCTCACTCTCTTATTTGAAAATAATCAGAAATCATTGAACAAGACAGAGATTGAGAGAGATCATCGACAAGGAGAGCTCATTTCCGCAGCTTCAACAGACGATCTTCTCTCCAATGATGTCACTGATTTTGTCGCTGTTACCACCCCCGAGACTAGAAAGACCAAGAAGAAACGCTCGTCAAGTGGTTACTCTACCCTTTGCAGCGATACCGATTCCTCGAATAAATCCTTCCTCGTTATCAGATCTAAACGTTCATTTCGTGAAGTCGCTGTTGATTGTCCAGCTGATTTTGTCCCCATGACCAAGGGTCATCCAATCTATCCGCCACCGCCACCGCCACCGCCACCGCCGCCACCGTCACCGCCACCGAGCAGAAAAATCCAAGATATCGCCAATAAACATACACAGTCCTCCGATAATTTAATAAGTACCATTAAACGAGACTATCGTGAGCCTCACCATTATGTGGCCGATGGATCGAAGAGTAATGTTAAGGTAAGGTTTAATAATGTACGGAGGAGATTCATGGCTACAAGTTATTTCTACAATCTTCGTAAGAGCAAAATGCTTTCATTCAATTATCACCCAATTAATAACACTGACAGTCTATCTAACGCACTCACATGTAAAACGCTTAATTGCACTGTATTGTCGCATTCATCGATTCCCTATATATTTGACTTTAATAATTCCTCTGAGAAGAATATGTCGTTCAAGCGTATTGAGAGCTTTCGCAACGAGACCAATGACAATTCAAAAAATTATATTCGTGAGTTTGGAGGTGAAAAAATGACAGACAAGAATTATGAAAAAATGGCTCATTCTTTTGAGGATTTTGAATTGAGGGATAATGTCGAAAATTCAGCACTCTCTGATGCCTATAAAAAGTCGAAAGCTAGCAGGCAGCAATTCAAAAGAATCGGGCTTGGAAGTCTACCCGATCTTGGGAAAATCGAACCCTTTGGCTGGAATTTTGGAACAATATGGCGGAGGCACAGTTGCAACGGCATATTTCAGGGGAGTTTTGATGAAACAACTTGTCGAGATGCTCAAGATGATGATGATGATGGTGATGATGATGATAATGATGATGATGATGATGATGATGATGATAATAATAATGAGGGGGTAACAAAACAGGTAACAAAAGAGTGTTTAAGCTAGGACAGAAGCATCAGACAATGTGTGCTTTCAGATTAATGAATATTTCTTTTTTTCTTTCTTTCTTTCTGTCTTTCTTTCTTTATTTATTTATCTGGCGGTTTAGAGGATGTTGGCAGGCGGTATGATTCTTTGGGGGTGATTTGGTCTCAGCATGAAGGAATTGCTACACGCAGAAGAATGATACTATTGTCAATAGTTTAATTTTCTATTATAGTATAAAAGAACAATTACACATTTCTTCACCAAAAATGTCTCCAATTTTCACACAGGTCAACTAGATCACCTCTTAATTATTCATTCTCTTCTATGCATCGTGCAATATGCAACCGAGTGAATATCTTTGAAGTGGATCGTAAACGATGACAAACAGAACTCGTGGATTCATGATCAAGTTCTGGTTCTCGTGCCAATGAATGTTAAATTAATTTTCAGACTGGCTTGAATGGTGTTAAGCCCGCGATTCCTCCCCGTGATCAGAAGAGAGCTCCAGCGAGACCGCCGAAGGACAATGTGAGAATATCCAATCGCAATAATAATATCGAGATTAACGAGAACATCAACACGACTAATGAATCGATACAGCAACCCCAGCCTACGCCTCAGCAACTCCACTCAATTAAAAAATACCAGGTGAGTTGATAGTTGTTTTGTAGTTATTATGGGTATTCACACTTTTTTTATTTTGATGGATAATATTTTTCTAGTAATAGCTGGGTACACGGGAAGCGGAAAACATTCAAGTTAATTACCGAACCGTGTCTATTTTACTTCCGTGTGTCAACAATGTGACTCTTTCGTACGAACGTTCAATCGTCAGTTTAATACAATTGCAATCGAGAAACTGATCGGAAATTGTGAATTAACCCAGAACGGGCTTTTTGTTGGGCAATTCTGCATGCTCACCAAATTTCCTTCTTTTTCAATTCAACATGTTTTCATTTTTTTTTGTTCAAATACAGAAAATTATGAGCATCTCAAATGCCTGTGAATTCATTCATTTTGGTTACTCTCAGAATTTTCGTCTCTTAATTATTTTATGACGATAGATTTTAAAATTTGTTATTTTCGACAAGACGAAATACTAAAAAAAAATTGCATGAAGAAACGAGTTTTTTTATTTTCCGAAATCATGTGAATTGATCATTTGGTGCAATGAAATTACTGTTTCTGATCGGTCTCACTGAGCAAAAAGAAGCCTTATCACCGAACCACCCCGAGGCTTCCCCTATATTTTCCGATATTATCTCATCACCAATTGTCTTGATAGAGGGAAAAACAAAATATTGAGTAATCAGTGATTTCTTTTTGTTCCCCTTGATGGGCGTTATTCGACGTCAATAATCGCTCACAAATTGCTGTGAGATAAGCCCAATCAATGCGTCATGCTGTGCATGATGTTTAAAAAACAGTGGAGGGTTTTATTTTCAACCACAATTGATAATTGTGGTTTCTGCAATTTCGATTTCCCAGAAATTTCTTCCTAAATAAGCATTTTCAACATTTATTCATTCATTCACTAATTTTAATGTAACATTTCAAAAATTGTATATTGAGACGTTTTATTTGAAAATTTTTTTTATGCATAGAAAATTAATCAACTTTTAAAAACTCATGAAAAAATGTGGAAAAACAAGGAAAGAAAAAAACATTATTGTTAACATTTATTATTTTTAGGAACAATTACGACAGAGAAAAGATCATGGAGAGCGCCAGGAATGTCTTCATCAATCGATACGTGGCTCAAAAAAGCTTCACGCCCTTGAGAGCCACACAACGAGTCTCGCGGGTCAGGAAAACCTTGCTTATACTCAGGATGAACTATCGACACCTACTCCAACGGCAGAACGGAAACGGTGCTCTGCTTCACTGAAAGCAGAAGAAGAAGAAGAAGAAGAAGAAGAATCCTCAATAACTTTAAGTACGTGTTTTTTTCCATAGAAAAAAGTACATAGATGTTCATTTTTCCATATAACTTATTCTAAGAATTTTCCAAGTTTTTTTTTCTTGGACTTTATCATAAGATATAAATTAAAATACACGGGGAAATCTTGGAAAATTCAAATCTATTGACTTTTTTTCCATCAAATGTCTCTTAAAAAATGTTACAAATCAAATTCCAATCGAATTTCTTAAAGTAAGCCCAAAGTTTTTCTATTCATTTTTGTTCATGCCTGATTAAGTTTAAATACTCCACATTTTATTATGAAATCCATCAATATGAAATTTTGTTGATTATTAGCTTATGGAGAAGTCGTGGCAATACTCGAGAGGCTGCAGATGCAACTGAAGAATCTATCAGGGGCTCTGGGCATCTCCGGTCCTGGGGTTGAGGCGGAGTTGGACGCAGTTCGAACGCTTTTGATACAAAGGAAGTTCGCAACAGCTCTCAGTACCCATCAAGTACTTAGGTCAAGGTTGAGGGCGGATAAATTACCCAAACATTGTGATGATGATGCTTCCAACTTGGCGCATGACGTAAGTTCTCTGTCCCAGTGAAAAATCTCTTGTCACAATTTTTCGCCCAAATTTCACAGTAAAACCTCGACAATTCGATAGAAAGTTCTATTGGATGTCTATTACACTATCTACTTTCTACTTGTTTTTGCTAGATTTTATTGAAAAATAGAGTTGGATTTTTCTGTAAAAAATTCTTCACTAGAAATTCTGTACAATTTCCTATTAAATTTGCCACTTTTTTCATGCCTGACACAACGTTAAGGACCGATCTCCATTAATTCTCATTTATCTCAAAGACAAGTGATTCTAGGAGAAAATGTTATTAAATTATTTTTCTAATAGCTTATGAAATTGTCAAGAAAAATATCTTCTGACATTTATCCCTAGACTAGAATCCCTCTTTACCAAAATAATTAAATATCCAACAAACGTAAAATCAACTCGTGGAAGAAAAAAAAAAAAAAAAAAAAAAAACCATTTCC